TGGGAAGGAACTGGCTGGACAGGTTTTCCAGATCCCTCTAAACATTCCTGAATTACTGCACTCCCCAAATTACAGTCCTCAGGGGGCTCGTTTCATTTTCTGAAAATTGGTAACAGGCCACCGCTCTGCTGGGATGAGGAGGTATCCAGGCAACTATTGTGCTGTGTGATTAACTCGGAGACGCGGCTGGGGCTCAGCTCACGGGTGCCCACGTGCTCAGCGACCTGCTGAATCCAGGAACCAGCAAAGTTTGGCGTTGAGCTGTCTAGATTCCACTGGAAAATATCCTCACCTTGTGTCCTTGCCACCATCTGATCTGTGATCCGTCCTAACCCTGTGTGCAGAGCTGCAGGCCGGGCACGGGGGCAGCCTCCCTGATACAATGCCTGCGGGACTCTGGACAGGGCACAGAATTTGTCAGCAAAGGGGGCAGAAGGTCACTCATTCTTTCAGTTTAAAAATTGCTGTTGGCATCGGCTGTGTTCCAGTCCCACTTTCACTGTGTAGTCTGTAACAGCAAAATAAAAGCAAAAGGCACACCTAGGTAACTTGCTTCGCTGAGGTTGTTGTCAGCAGTGGGGACCAGACAATCAGAGCACAGGCACTGGGTGACTGTGTTGCACACATCGTGGGCTGGGTTGTGTCCCCTGAAGATATGCCCACGTCTCCGGCCCCTTACGGAGGACATCGAGGTACGATGAGCTCATTCGCGTGGCCCTAAAGGCAAATCTGGACACAGAAATGTATGGGGGCAGGAAGAGGCGAAGACGCCAGCCAAGGAGGACCAGGAGAAGCTGCAGGGGCCCTGGCTAGGGCGCCCCCCTGGCGCGACAAGGAAGCAGCCACCTTGGTCTCTGGCTCCCAGGCTCCGGCACCGAGAGACACACCTCTGTGGTGTATGCCACAGTGCCTGGCGCTTTGTTAGGGAACCATAACCCGGCACAGGGTGCGTTAGGGGCTGAATGGGGTCTCGCCCCATGCACAGCTGAAAGCCAGCCTCCAGTAACCAGTGGCCTCATTTGAAATGGACCGGTGCAGAGATAACTGCTGACGTCATGACAAGGTTGCCGGGGCAGGGCCCCAGTGCGAGGACAGGTTCCTGGTAAAGATGGGCGATCTGGACATAACCATCCACAGGCGGAGCAGCCAGGGGAAGATGTGGCTGGAGGCCCAGTGGTGCATTCAAAGCCACGGCCCATCAGGAATTGCAGAGAGAGGCCAGGAGCCGCTTCTCTCACCGCCTTGGAAGGGCCCAGCCCCGCCGGCCACAGCTCAGTCTCCAGCTTGCACGGCCACAGCTGTGAGACAGTGAGTGTCTGGTGCTTAAGCCCCCGGCTGGCAAGTCTTGGTTATGGTAGCGACAGCAAAGTAGCACAGTTATCAGGAGGCAAGGAATGCAGGGAAGGAAAGCACTGAAGGGGAACGGAGATGCTTAAGGCACTGAGAGGTAGAAAATGTTCCTTGTTGACATCCTGTGAAGGTGGGCGGAGAGCAGACTGGGAGAGGGCGTAAATGGATATTTGGGGGAGGCCCTTCCTGCAGGGACGGGGAGGGGGTGGTGCATGCAAAGGCCCTGAGGCAGGAGCATGAGAACCGTGAGATACCAGAGAACTCAGCAAGGAGGCCAGGCGCTGCCATCAGGGAGAGCAGCGGAGCCAGGCCTGGCACGGGGTCCACCCTGAGTGCGCAGGGGAGAAAAGTGGGGTTTCAAACACTGAGGCATTTTGAGGAAAAAAACCATGACGTGGACTTGGCCGTGTTTTGGAAGAACCATTTGTGTGTTGTGCTGTGGATTAATTACAGGGGAGCAAAGAGAGGATTAAGAACCAAGTAGGAAGCCATCACAGCACCTGTGCCCGAAGTGTGTCGCTCAGACCTGGGCCACGTCCGTGGAGGAGACAGATACGGAGCCCGGGGGTTCCTGGACGCTTGGCTCTGGCATCTAAAGGAAAGGGAGATCCAGGGTGGGGGGAGCGCCAGTGTCCTCGGTCTGAGGCTCTGCTTCGTCAACAGAGATGAGGAAGATGAGGGGTTGGGGGGCAGGTTCTGGGCGACGCTCAGGAGAACAAGTGCTGGGCCTGTCGAGCTTGAGAAGTCTCAAAGTCAAGGATTTCCCCCCCAAAAAAATCAAGCACTGGTGGGAGCCTGGGAGAGCAGCTAGGGTCAGTTTCTCCTTCACAGCCAGGGAAGCCGGCCAGGCCACTGTGCTGTGAGCTGGGAGTTTGCTGGACAGGTTCTGGGCTGGAGACGTGACCCTGAGAGCCACTGTCCTCTATGCTGTGTGGGAAGGCAGCGTGCAGGACAGGCTGCGTGGCAAAGAGAAGTCCACTCTGCCACTCTCCAAGTGGGGGCGAAGGGGCCTGCGTGACCGTGGGTAGAGGGCAGCGCTCTCACGCCTTGCCCGTGCACAGGCACACTTCCCACACCCAAGGCAGGAGGGCCGCGTCGGGCAGCTACTCTCCCCACCTCCCTGAGCCACCGGCAGGGCTGCCAGACTCCGGGTTCCTCTCCTCACTCTGGGTTTTTACCACTGGGGCTGCGTGTGCAAACCCTCCCAGAGTGCACACCACCTTCCTGAGATCAAGTCAGTGTCCCGGGCCAGGTAGAATTTCGATGGGATTTCCAAGTGCAAAACCACCTACCAGGTTATCTTTTTTTATTTTTCATGTTTTTTAAAAAAGATTTATTTAATTATTTGTTTATTTGTATTCTTGAAAGGCAGAGCCACAGAAAGAGAGGGAAAGACAGAAAGAAAAAGAGAGAGTGAGACCGTCCACCCATTGGTTTACTCCCCACATGGCCACAAGAGCCAGGGCTGTGCCAAACCAAAGCCAGGAGCCAGGCCCTCCACCCAGGTCTTCCATGTGAGTGGCAGGGGCTCACATGCTTAGACCGTCTTCTGCTGCCTCCCCTGGCACATCAGCAGGAAGCTGGATGGGAAGCGGGGTAGCCAGGACCCCAGTGGGCGCTCAGATATGGGATGCCAATGTCAAAGGCAGTGGCTTAATGTGCTGCACACAAGGCCAGCCCTTACCAGGCAATGTTGTCAGCCACTAGGGCCGTGCTGAGGGCAGCTCAGCTGCTGGCCAGTGCCTAGCTGGACGCACCCGGCCCAGGCTGCAGAAGCGAGGTGACCACGGCTTCCCCACACCCGCAAGGGCACTGCAGGTCCCTAGAAGCAGAAGCCAGGGTCCTGCTATGCCTCTCTGGTCCCAGGGGCACCCAGGAGCAGTCGCTCAAATGCACTGCCTTGCGTTGCTGTCTCCTGGGGGCTGCTGAAATCCTACAGAACCTAAAGGAAGGCACTTAGCATATTTCGTATTTGCAGAGAGCCTTTCTATCAACAAGCAGCGCCGCACGGGTCTCGTGTCGTTAATCCTCGCAGCGGGGTGTAGATGGCGGGGAAGAATTGTCGATTTCACCTAGCATTGAGGAAGAGTGGCACAGAGGTTAAACGGCTTGCCTAAGGCGCTCTGATGAGTCCGTCCCAGAGTCAAGACTGGAGCCCTTGATTCTTGACTTCTGGTCTACCATCTTATACCTCCCCCCAGAAATAGCATAATAAAAATCGCACTAAATATGAGAGCTTAATGTTCCTTGTGACATTCAGCATGTCGCTTGACCTCTCCCTGGCCCAGTGTCTGAATCCATAAAATGGGGATAATAACACTTGTCATCTGGTGGCCACAGAAATATTATGAATATTAATCTTCCCGGCGATCACACACTTCGGAAATGCTGCCACGTGAATTCGAGGTTTAGGTTACGATCAAAGACAACGACTTGCACAGCATTCAAGAGATAATATACAGACGATGGGAAGGGAAGAGCATCAGTTTTATTTGAAAGGAGGCGAGTCATGTGGAAAGGAAGGGAGGCTTTGACAGCATGCATGCTATTGATCCAACTGGTGAGAATTCTCTAACAGGTATTGTAAAATGGCTTAATACTTTAAAGTCCAGTCTTTCCCCAAAACCATCTCCCTGAAGTCTTAGCTTTTTGCAAATGGCTGCACCCTCTGTATTTCTCCGTCGCGACATGCCGGATCTCTTTGTTGTGTGCAGTCACAGGGGAAGGACGTGGGCAAGGGTTTGGAGTTTGGGTCCTCTCCTCAGCATTTCTGTTCAAATACCAGCGTGCCCCAGAGCTGCTAAAATGGTGGTGAAATTTGGATTTATTTCCCGCTTTCCGGGCCTGGTCCAGTTTTCCACATTACTGTGCACAGAGGGCTCAAGAGTTAATGGGGCTGGCGGTAGAGTGTTTGCTTCTTCTGTTTGAAATCAAACGTCTGATCTTTATCTGCAGTGACAGGTTTAATGCCTTTCTTCTCTGACAAATTTTCAGTTGAAGAGCAATGCAAACACTGGTATCGTGCGGTTATATAAGGGACTGATCTTCGCAAGCCGGCATTGGCAGCTCGGTCCCTAACGAACAGCAGAGCCCTGAAGCAGCCCCTCTTGCCAGAAGAAAAGCACCCCCAAACTCTGGGCACACCCATGGCTGTGCCGCAGTCGGCCCGGGGACAGCGAGGACTCGGGACTTGGGCTGGACGCCTCGGCCTTCACCATCGCCGGTCCCGGGAGTGGGGGTGGGGGTGGGGGTGGGGGTGGAGGGCTGTGTGCAGGAGACAGAACCACATCAGAGGAGACCCCACGGGATAAGTGGATATTCCCATGGCCCCTGCGTCTGGAAACGCTAAGTCCCACCCTCCTCCCTGGGAACACGACACTGGAAAGTACTCTTGCCTTCCGGTTCTCCACAGACCTCGTGCTTTAATGAACGCGACTGCTGGAGGAACCTGCAGCCCAGGCTCCCCAGAGACGGGGAGAGCTCCCCGGGGAACCAGAGAGTGGGGAGGATTCTGCAGCCTGAGCTGGGCTCTTGGGGGAAAATACTGTTTAACAAAATGTTTCAACAAAATGGAATTCCGTCTGGGATTACATCACAACACAGCGTATCAAAAGATTCTAAGTTGTCTCTCTTTATATGGCGTGAAGGTTCGTAGAGAGAAAGCCTGGGGAGAACACGACACGGTAGGACTTTCTGACTGCGACTTAAATACGAAAGTTCAGTAGAGAAAACTGAAATTCTCCCCTGCTGATGCCCTGAGGCCGTCTCAAGTCAAATCACCAGCATAGATTATACACAGTACAGTAAAATCTGAAACCCAGTTTCCGTGGACAGTCTGAAGACTACCACAACCCTTGATATTTATGTAATTGTTGACATGGATTTTCCCTGTCTCACCCCCCCACACCCTGCCAAATTTACATCTTAGCTTTTATGGAATGAACCAACAGATGTGTATTAAATATTTAGACTATTTATTGTAAATGTATTAAATATTTGAGTCAGCAGCTGGGGTCTGGTAGGAAGGAAGACAAAGTTGGGTAAGAAAGGGCCCTCCCTGGGCCCAGGGTCGTCCAGCTGGGCCTGAGGGCTCCTCAGGGAGGCCCAGGTGGCCAGGGGCAGGCCCCTCACCTCATGGGCAGCATTCCCCTCCGACACGTGGGGATTCCTTTTCTCTCTGTACCTGTGTCTTCAGTGGAAGAATCCCCATAGGAGTCTTGGTTCAATAATAAGTGAATTCTGAAGTCTTTGATCTTTTTTCAAAGATTTAGTTATTTATTTTGAAAGAGTTACAGAGAAAGAGAGAGAGAGAGAGAGAGAGCAAGCTTCCATCTGCTGGTTCATTCCCCCAGTTGGCCACAGTGGCCGGCACTGGGCCAGGCTGAAGCCAGGAGCCAGGAGCTCCATCCGGGTCTCCCATGTGACAGGGGCCCCGGCTGCTTTTCCCAGGCTGTTAGCAGGGAGCTGGACCAGAAGTGCAGCAGCCGGGACACAAACTGGAGCCCACGGGGGTGCAGCGTCATGGGCAGTGGCTTTGCCCGCCGTGCCACGAGGCCGGCCCCATCTTTAATTTGCAGCAATGACAAGCTGGCTCTTGCCTGATCAGATCACACTCACACCAGGTTCACTGGAGCGCAGCCCTCTCGCGTTACTCGCTCAGAAACTGGCCTCAGCGCCACGCGACTCGGGTTGTCTTCCTGCGACTCAGCAGCCCGCGACTCAGGGCCTCTCAGCTCTTCTGGTGGATTCGAGCTCGGGTGCAGGAATGCAAGCGGAAAAGCGGAAGGAGAAGAATGATCTAGAATTTAACCTTCCTTCACGCGCGTGGACTTCGAGGAACTTCTCTGACGCCCACAGTCGGTGAGCTCCGGGCAGGAAGACTTCGGCTCCAGCCCTCTGAGCAGGGCAGCCCTGGGCCGGACGCCTTCTCCCTCCTGACCTCCGAGGTGGATCCCGGGTGGCAGGGAAGTGGCTCTCCACAGCCTTTCGGCCCACGCTGTTTGCACATTCGCGTTCCTGAGGTCCGCCTGTCCCCTCTGTGCAGCCAAGCAGGCCTTGCAGGTGGAGGAAGCAGCGTGGAGGAACCCCAGGGCGCCAGGAGCTGAGTCCAGCCCCGCGGAGTCTCTGCCCCAGGTGTGTGGCTGCCTCTTGACACGTGGCTCCTTGGGAAGGGAACTGCGCCCTGTGGGAGAAGCAGAAACCGAAATGACTGGGAGCTGAGGGCCAGGGCTCAGCTCCGCCCCTGAGCAGGTGCACCTCTGCCTTCCTGCTCTGTGCTCTCCCTGCCAGCGCTTCCTACTTCTCCCGGGACAGCGCCTTCTCGGTGGCTCCGCTGCCTTCACTCCGTCCCCGGGAGCCAGAACCCTGCTCCGGGTCTGCCCAGCAAGGACTCAATGCCTTCTTTCTCTGGCTGCTGGCTCCTCTTTTCCTCCCCTGCACCTCGATTCCCTCTTTGTCCCAAGAACTGGAGAGCTACAAACACCTGCTGGAGCCTCACCGTCCCCATAGCATCAGCCCCACAGGTGCACAGGCCACAGCTGAGAGTCCTGCTTGGCTGGCCGTGGGGAGAGGCCGACTGCAGGCTGCAGTGGGTGTGGGGATGGTTCCGTGGGCGTGGGGCTGGTATGGACACGTTGGGCGTTCTAGAAGAGAGAGGGAGGAGGGTGCCTGCTGGGTTGGGGTGTCCAGCAGCCCTTGCTTCCCCTCAATTCCCGGGCTCACCCTCCGTCTTTGGAAACAGGGCACGGCCCATCTGCAGGGGAGCTGCGGAGGGAGGAGGCACCGAAGACGCAGGCTGGCTGACAGGCACGGCGCACCTGCCCTGTCTACCCAGAAACACGGCCACTGACAGGCGACAGGAGTGCCCGGCCACACGGAGTCCAAACAATTTCTCTCCTCAGCTGTTGGATTTTCAAACGTGATCTATAGAGTGATGCTGACAGTAGATTTTCTGCCAGCAATAAAGGTGGCCTGATTCACAGAATAATTACTGTATGCAAATGAATGTGATTTTCCTCTGCCCTTTTATGGATGACTCTGCTCCGCCATTCATCAGGGCCACAAATTTCACTTGGGAGGAGACGGATTTAAAGAGACAGGCGCCCCTGGAGCTTTGCAATGAACTTACTAAATCCAGGCTAAGTGTCTTCGTAAATAGACATGCATATGCCGGCAAGGGGGTCCCAGATTCTCATCTTTTTATCTTGTCCTGGTGCTTGGAAAACTGTCGGGGAAACGCCTCACCTCGTGCCCTCCCCGGGTCTTGCAGGAGCTGCGTGCTATGGGGGCTGGGGTCCCCCGGTGCCTTCTCCTCCTCCTTCTTCCAGGGCAGCCCCTCTGAGACAAGACGAGGGCGACCAGAATGCTGCCTGCGTGGCAGGAAGAGCAGCAGAAGTGGCTTTTGTTCCGCACTGTAATGGAACGGAAGGAAACACACAGAGTCCAGTGAGAAAGAGCCCTTGAAGACCGGCTCTCTTGTCTGCTCCTGACTTCCCGGGACCGGATGGCGTCCCTGAGCTGGTGGTGCTGCGAATGCCCATGTACATGGGCATATAGAGGTGTTTGCTCCTCCGGCTCCATGCCAGGAAGAGGCGGGGAATCCAAGGAACAGAAATGTCACCAGGGCCTGGTGCTGGTCCGGGGACAGGAAGGCACATTCCCAGCACGAGGAGTGATGGGCTCCCACGGAGCAGCCACCTCTGCCGGTGGCTGGCTTGTGACCCGCACTGTGACAGCACAGTGACGCTGGCGCATCCTGAGTGTTCTTTCGTCCGCTGTCACTCACAGAATAAAGGGAAGACGCACGCTGTTTACACGTACAACGCGGCATGCCCGCCGTGGCCATTGCCAAGCCAGCCCAAATTCAAGGCCACTGGATACTGAGCTGTTCTGGGAGGACGAAACAGCTGGGCTGGGTCTCCAGCAGTCTTCCCAGGACTCGGGCGGGGAAAAGCCACGGTTTTGCAGACCAAATCAAGCCATGGCTTTATTTTAAACCAAAACTTCAGGTCAATAGTTGATCATGAAACTGGATCACAGGAAAACCAAATTTTCTACAATCATTGATTAGTCATTTGTTCCATGGTGTAACATAGTAGATACAGTGTTCAAAAAGGGAGTCGTTTTTTACAGTAATTGTAACTAATTTTTAACTGTGTATAGTCACTACATTTATTGAAAATTACTTTAATGAACACATAGAAATTCTCCAATATCCCACTTAATTGAGTTGGACAATTAATTAGAGTCACATATGTACATGTTAACTGCTCATAGGTTTGCAATAAAATTAGTGTACTTACTTTTTATTGGTAGGAGTCAAGAAAAGTAAAGTTTTTTACATCTGAATAACAAAGTTTTTTACATCTGAATAACAAAGAATTAAGTTCAAACTGGAAGGTTTTTTTTTTTTTTTTGACAGGAAGAGTGGACAGTGAGAGAGACAGAGAAAAAGGTCTTCGTTTTGCCGTTGGTTCACCCTCCAATGACCACCACGGCCGGCGCGCTGTGGCCGGCGCGCTGTGGCCGGCGCACCATGCTGATCCGAAGGCAGGAGCCAGGTGCTTCTCCTGGTCTCCCATGGGGTGCAGGGCCCAAGCACTTGGGCCATCCTCCACTGTACTCCCTGGCCACAGCAGAGAGCTGGCCTGGAAGAGGGGCAACCGGGACAGAATCCGGCGCCCCGACCGGGACTAGAACCCAGTGTGCCGGTGCCGCAAGGCGGAGGATTAGCCTAGTGAGCCGCAGCGCCAGCCCAAACTGGAAGTTTTAACTTGGATTTTAAAAAAGCCTCCTTACACAACGATGATAAAGAACACCCAGGGGCCAGCACCATGGCTCACTTGGTTAATCCTCCGCCTGCAGCGCCGGCATTCCATATGGGCACTGGATTCTAGTCCCGGTTGCCCCTCTTCCAGTCCAGCTCTCTGCTGTGGCCCGGGAAGTCGCAGGTGGAGGGATGGGCCCAGTTGCTTTGGCCCTGGCACCCCAATGGGAGAAGCAAGGAGAAGGCACCTGCTTCTTGCTTCGGAATCACCGTAAGCTTCTGGGCCACAGCGGCAATTTAGGGGGTGGAACACACACAGAAAGGAAGAAGGTTTCTCTCTCTCTCTCTCTCACTGTCTAACTCTGTCAAATTAAAAAGAAAGAAAGAAAGAAAGAAAGAAAGAAAGAAAGAAAGAAAGAACGAACACCGAAAAATAAACTAGTGAAAAGAGGCTGAAGACGAACCAATTTCAAGACAAGTTGCCGTGGACTGCTTCTGACAAAATCCATTATTTTATTTAGCAGAAATGTCTGTTACCCTGTGTTTTTGGACTGAGTTGGGTTGCCCTTCCACCCCCAAAAAGAGAGATTGAAGTTCTGACCTTGGGACTTTAGTAGTTGTTTATGTGTAAGCTCTTCACGGAGGCCATCGAGTGTGACGGTGATCAGAGCCAGCCCTCGTTCGACGACTGGTGTCCTTACAGTGAGGACATGGGCACACACACGGGGGACACTGTGTGATGATGAGCCGGCCGATGCCGCCACAGCCAGGGAATGCTGCACGCCGGGGAGAGCTCTGCCAACACCTTGATCTTGGACCTCCACCTCCACAACCAAGGACAACGCGTTTCTAGTGTGTCAGTCCCCAGTGTGTGGTACTCTGGCCCTGGCAAATTAACACACCCTCCTTCTTCCACTTGTATAATTGGGGTTAAAAACAAAAATCTCAGAGTAGACAAGGACATAACAACTTCCTACCAGCGTGCAGCAGGTGGGGGTGGCTGAGGAATGGGGGCCACTGCTCCGCTCTCCTGGAAGCAGCTCCTGCCCACTGCCAAGAGCCCGGCCCTGGGCTCTGAATGAAGGCTGTCGACCATCTGACCGAGGACGGGCCCAGGGAGGCTGGCTCGGGCTTGTGGACCAACTGGCACAGGGACAGGAACGGAGCTCCTCTCCAGGGCTGCAGAAGTAGCAGTCTAGGGCTGTCGCTGCCGTCTCGGTCTGCAGAGGCGCGAGGGGAACGCATGCCCAGAAAGCCGAAGGCGGGGAGCTGGCGGCCCTGGCCTCCTGTCGCCAGTCACCGATCTTTGCTCAGTGGTACCCCACCCTGCTGCTGTTCATTTATATGGACCAGGCCTCTCTGGAGGCCGGCTCCGTGCTGACGCACCATGGGAAAATTAACTTGGTTTCAGTGCTCCTGTACACCAAAAGTGTGTTTTGGGTTTCTTGAGTGTCTAGGCTGATATCACAGATTTAATGGGTGTTTGACAACCAGAGGCTTGAAGATGTAACATTACACTCAGTGGATATTTTTAGTAGATCAAGCTATGGCTACTCTCGTATAGGTGGTCAAGGTGTTATCAATTCTAATGATCTGATTTCACTTATATTCACAAATTACTTCTTTAACTATTTTCCAGTGTCTTTATAACAAGTTCCATTGACATTTAACTAGAACAAACATTGAGTTATGATTTTAAATCTCCTTTATCTTCAGCCAGGAACGCACTGAACTAAGATGACTTCTGGGTGTGTGTCGGTTCCTAAGACAGACTTACAAATTCACCCCCAGGGGCAGGCGCCATGGTGCAGTAGGTTAATCCTCTGCCTGTGGCACCAGCATCCCATATGGGAGCCAGTTCTAGTCCCAGCAGCTCCTCTTCCAATCCAGCTCTCTGCTGTGGCCTGGGAAAGCAGTGGAGGATGGCCCAAGTGCTTGGGCCCTGCACCCATATGGGAGACATGGAAGAAGCACCTGGCTCCTGGCTTTGGATGGGCTCAGCTCCGGCTGTTGCGGCCATTTAGGGGGTGAACCAACAGACAGAAAACGTTTCTCTCTGTTTCTCCTTCTCATTGTCTGTTACTCTACCTCTCAAATAAATAAATAAAATCTTAAAAAAAATAAATTCACCCCCAGACTCCCCCAACTTTCTGTGTCTGGGTGTTCTTGCCAATATGTACCTCCTCCTATTAGATGTGCCACTGCCCCCCTCAGCCTGCCGAAATCCTATCAGTCACTCACACACTCACCCTTTGCTCAGTTGTTCGGGCATCACACTTCCATCGGTGTGCTGTGCCCATCGGTGTCTGTGCCCATCAGTGTGCTGTGCCCATCGGTGTCTGTGCTCATCAGTGTCTGTGCCTATCGGTGTCTGTACCTATTGGTGTCTGTGCCCATCGGTGTGCCTTGCCCATCGGTGTCTGTGCCCATCGGTGTCTGTGCCCATTGGTGTCTGTGCCCATCGGTGTCTGTGCCTATCGGTGTCTGTGCCCATCAGTGTGCTGTGCCCATCGGTGTGCTGTGCCCATCAGTGTCTTTGCCCATCAGTGTCTGTGCCCATCGGTGTCTGTGCCCATCGGTGTCTGTGCCCATTGGTGTGCTGTGCCCATCGGTGTCTGTGCCCATCTGTGTCTGTACCTATCAGTGTCTGTGCCCATCGGTGTCTGTGCCCATCGGTGTCTGTGCCCATCAGTGTGCTGTGCCCATCGGTGTCTGTACCTATCGGTGTCTGTGCCCATCAGTGTGCTGTACCCATCAGTGTGCTGTGCCCATCGGTGTGCTGTGCCCATCGGTGTGCTGTGCCCATTGGTGGCTGTGCCCATTGGTGTCTGTGCCCATCGGTGTCTGTACCTATCAGTGTCTGCCCATCAGTGTGCTGTGCCCATTGGTGTCTGTGCCCATCGGTGTCTGTGCCCATCCCTTTGAGGGGCTGAGTGCTCCTGTGCGAAGAACACAGCACCCCCTCGAGAGTCTTCCATCTGGACACAATGTGCACAAATGCTTCATTCAGAAACGCTGCCTGCGTGGCCGGCAGGATCACACCCAGATGCCTAGCATGGAGTTCAAGGCACTCCACGTTTTCCTAGAACCCGCTGGGCCACCTGAGTCGTTTTATTCGACTCTCCAAACAACCGCCTTGATCATTCTACTCTGACCAGAACTCAGCACGATTTTCAGACCCTGAGCACCTCTGTTTCCCGGCCGTGACACCTTCCTCTGTGACATGCACCTTGCAAATCTCAGCCAAACCAAACCTCACCCTCTTCATGAAAACCTCCTGGGTGTTCCAGTCACAGTGTCCTCTTCCCACTTGGAATCCCTAATGGTTCTTGGATTCTTCTTCCCAGCTAGATTGTGACATCAAGTTCCCAGGTTTTCCCAGCCTTTGGTCCCACACGGCAAGTGTCAACACGGGCCAGTGAGTCCTTGCTGATGGATCGGGCAGCGACCGTGTGGTGTTTATTGTATTCTCGCATGTTTGGCAAAGCGTCTTATAAGCCCAAGGTTTGACACTTTATCCATATCTCTCAATCTTGGGGGCTATGACTTCTCTCACCTCCTCCACTGGTTGGGGTGGAAAACACCAGCCCATCGTTTTCCCAATCCTTGTAAACAAAACCTGGAGCTGGAATGCACCCGACTCAAACGTTGAGAATCAAGCCGGTATCCAGGGAGGTTGGGTGCAGTGTTCAAATAAACTGAGGAAACAGTGTAGATATCGGAAACAGAGCTCAAACCTCATGACTGCCGGGAGCCAGGCAAAGGTAGTTTGCACATGAGCCAGGGCCTTGCTGGCCTCACTGATGACACCTGATTAAACGGGCACTTCTGGGTGGGCTTCAGAGAGGGTGAATGGAGGAGCAGCCCTTTGGACCAGTGGGGAGTCCAGCCTGTGGCTTCAGGTGTACTCGTTTTCTGTGGTCCATTAGCTCACTCACGGTCACAGTCACGGTCACAGTCACGCGCCCTACGGCAGTTGCAGTGCTGAGTGTGGAGGGTGTGGGCCTGGGCCTGTGCTCCCTGCAGTGAGACGGGTGTTGGAGCAGCGACCCAGCCACAGTGGAGGAAGAACAGGGCTCGCCCTCTACGTCCCTTGGCACCGTCTGTGCCGTTGCCCAAGCTAGAATTCAAGGGCAGCCCTTGACTCTACTCGGGACAGATCTTGATCTTGGCTGTGCTGTCCAATACCCAGCTTCCCTGTACTGCTCCCCAAAGAGAACCACGCCACGTGTACAGCTCCTCCTTGTCGGTCATGCCCGAGTCACGT